GAAGTAATCCAACAGAAGCCTATATATGTAGTATTTGATGGAAAGCTCCCTGGGGTCTACATTTCTTTTGAAGAAATTGTGGCTCAAAAAATAGATGCTAAATTAATGGGAGGAATATCTTGGAAGAAATATAAGGATATTGATGAAGCATTAAGCCAAGCTAGAAAAATATTAGGAATAAATTATTATCTAGAGCCTGCTGCAAAAGAATATATTCAAAAATGCAAAAAAGCTAAAGGAAAGAAGACTTCAGAAATACCCATTAAGATGACTATAAAAGAAGAAGGGTTTTTTAAAAAACCCACATACAAGGAATGCTTAACAAAAGGAGTGGATCCATTAGATGGGGAATATATTGATTGGAAGATAATAGAAAAATTTGAAGAAGCCTCCCCACAATTAAAGAAGGAATTGAAGGAAGAAATACTTAAAGAATTAAAACAAGAAATGGATCAGAAATTCGAGCAAATAAAAAAGGCAGTAGATGAGAAATTAGAAGTTTCTTTTTCTGATTTGGACACAATGGATCTTGGTGGCCATGGGCAACCAGATGAATAAATTAATATAAGCTAAATATGTTTTTCAATATATATTGATAATAGAATATCAACAATTTGGGCGTGGAAGAAGAATAAAAGAAATTCAGAAGATTACCCAAGAAAGAATCCAGAAGAATTCAGAAGATTACCCAAGAAAGAATCCAGAAGGACACCCTATAAAGTATAAGGGGACAATATAGGGTGCGGTGAATGACATATCCCTGTGAAGAATAAAACTTTCGGTGGAAAGGCCTCGACTTTAGCCAGCTCCCGTGAAGATATAGTAGCGAAGAGATAAGCAGGAGGCACAGGCGACGCCATCCCTGGCCTCTATAAAAGGAGACGTTGGCATTCACTCCGAAGACACACAACCACGAAGACACCATTCAGAGCAAAGCTTCCAAGCGCGCTCTCACCCTCTATTCCACCTTTCTTAGTAGTAGTTCCTCTAGCCTACCTTGCATAATATATATTGAAGCAGTGAGTTGTAATATAAAGGTTTGTAAGGTGAGAAAAACTTGTTTGTATCTACCTTCGGGGTTCCCGAAAGGGAAAACCGTATGTAAGCCTATTTGCTTAATATGAAGTAATTTTCTTTAAGTTTCCCCGTTTGTTTGCTCTAGATAAGCGTTTATGCTAGGGACCCTATAGGAGAAACCTCTCGGTTGTTCTCGTTTTTAGCCTGCATCTTGCATATGCGTCTGGAGAACCAGTATCCGTAGAGAAGTGTTCCCCTCGGGTGGAACTGCCTGGGGAGACGGTAAACGCTTAGCTAGTTCAAATATGACTAGGGATACCTGAAGTTGGTTGCTTAAATAGGCAGATAAGTGAGGCATACGGCTAGTACCGAGTAGGACTTTAAAATTTCTAAATCAAGCGCCGGCTGTTTTTGGATTCGCCACCCTGCAAAGATCCTAAAAATTTAAAGAAAATTTTCGAGTGAACAGTAACCTGTGAACAGTATTTCTGTACTCATAATAGTGAATTCAGCACTAAGAATAGTAGTGAATAGTAATGAATTCAGCACATATATATTTCTGAATAATAAAGTTAATAATAATGTGCTATATATATATATATGTGTGTGTGTGTATATATATGTATATATATATATGTGTATATATATGTATATATATATATATATGTATATATATATATATAGACACACACATGTGCATGCATAGGCAGCCAATCGGCAAAATGGATCGTGGGGGCCGGGCCGGGATTAGCTGATGCCGGCTTCTACCTGTATTAATTCTGCCAGGTGAAGTGACACACTCATACGTGCTGTTTCTTCCTTGTCGGGCCCCATATGATTAATTTGGATGACTTCACATATACGGGAATTTAACTATTTGCCACAATTATCCAAATACCCTTCAGCTCTTTTTTTCCCTCTTAGATAGTGGCTTCTTAACTATTTACCACTTTTACCCACGTGACATACCAACGTGGTAACTCAGGTGAAAAAACGATGTAGGGCCCACTTGTCATTTTCTCCTCTCACTGACCTCTCTCCCCCCCAACTGTCCAGCCGGCGATGCCGGCGAAGAGGACTAGGGCGGCGCCGGAGTGGAGGTCGACAACCGCTACGGCCCTCTCTCCAACACGTGCCCAATCGACCTTCATGGCGCCGTTCAAGTTCTGCAGCGATGGCCGACCGTTGATGCGGGACAACGGATCTATCGGAGTGCTCGCCGATAGTGACCCACGTGAGCTTCGGTCAGCTCTCCGCCGCCTTCTCCTCTGGCCTGACGCCCCCAGTCGCTCCGTCTCTATATATATATCTATCCACGTCGGCATCGGGACCCTCGGCTCCCCCGCACGCGCGCCCTTTTTCCTCACCGTCAGTGGCAGATGCCGCTGTGGAGAAGAGCGTTGGGACTCCTGCTGTGTGACACGAGGGCAACGAGCACGCGGTGTTCCACTTCGGCCGACGAGGACCCACTTCGCGCGCCGAGGAGAGTGCCGCCGCGGTCGTCGAACTCCACTTCGGCCACCCCCAACGCCGGCGTCTGATAGCTGGAGGAGAGAGATGAGTGAAGGGGAGAGAATTACAAGTGGGACCACACCGTTTTTTCATATGTGTTGCCACATTGGCATGCCACGTGAGCAAAAGTGACAAATAGTTAAGAAGCCACCATCTAAGAGGGGCAGAAAAATAGGAGCAAATATAAGAAGGGTATTTGGATATGCCAAACCTAAAGTGGCAAATAGTTAAATTCCCCACATATACTGCCTCCATCCTAAAATAAGTGTAGCCGTGGGTATTCATGTCCAACGTTTGACCGTCTGTCTTATTTGAAAAATTTATGAATTTTTTTTAAAAAAATTATCACACATAAAGTACTATTTATATTTTATCATCTAATAACAATGAAAATACTATTAATAAAGAATTCTGGGATGAGTTGTCACACGTAAAGTCTTTACATCTAACAACCAATGTCTCATATAAGGGCCGACAAATATTTTCCGTCCCCCTCATCACTCCATCCGCTGCTGAGAATTATAATCTGGTTCACTCGATAGGAGACATTTGGATCTTAAGCGAATTTCGCCTTGTCTGGCAAGGTTTAGTGTTTGGTACCAGAATGATCCAAACGCACCCTATTTGCGTGATTTCTGCTTTCTCACGTACTCCCTCCATTTTTTTTCTTTTTAAAAAAGGAGAACTTTTAGAACGTGTTTAGACTCGTTTTCAAAAATTAAAAGGTATACTTATTATACACGTATTTCCTCGAAACGACTGTCTGATTTAGGGGTGCAAGAAGGTTTACCCGCGAACCCATTTAATCACAAAAATAGTACGTAACCCGCCGGTTTGACTAGCGGGTTAACTATGAATTTGACTTATAAATGGGTTTATAGATTGATTCACTTGTATATTTAGATGTGGCAAGACAGGCCGTGACACGAAAACCCATAAATTATTATTTATTTAAAACTCGTGGATCGGCCCGCTTGCACCTCTAGTCTGATTGCCCTCCACACCGTTAGCCCCTGTCTACTGTGCCTTCAATTCACACGGCACGACAACTAATTCGATCGTTACTCTCTTTCCTGTCGCTACTTTTGGAAGTGAGCTCACTGCTCACACCTCTATAGAGGTTTGTCTTCAGCACACTAGAAAAAGAAAAAAAAAACAAGGTAATGCCTTGGTGAGGGTGGTTGCTGACTTGCCTGTCAGCTGCTATGCTTTAGCCAAATCGAGAAAACGGAGTTAAACACGACAAATGCGTGATCGAGAATACGACCATGCGTTATACAGGGGACATACATAGGCAGTGACGCAACTGCACGGTATTAAGTCATGTTCGGCACAACTCGTAGATGTCAGATGCACGTTAGATTTGCAGTTTATATGTTAAAATTATGTTGGTTTAAAATTTCAAATTTTATCTAATATAGAAACAAAATAATTTATCTAAATGTTATGAACGTAATAGTTGTCATCCCTACCCCAATCTAACTTGTGCATTCAAGTCCTCCACGATTTTAGGCCAGCACGGTTCTCATCCAACAGCTGATAAAACCATCACCGCACGAAACATATGGGTGCATTTGATAGGGCTTCAAATTCTATGATTCTGATTCTAATTCACCCTAAATCGTATAAAAAAGAGAATCAGAATCAATTCAGTTAGCTGCTTGGCAACAAATGTTAGCACTATATTACTCTTGTGATAACAAGGCCAGAGATTAACATAAATATCATCGGATCTTCGTTCCATAATATAAGTGATTTTGATTAGATGAGAAAATCTCTTATATTTTGGGACGGAGAAAAAAGTTAATGTAATGCTAATATTTATTAGAACTACTTAAAATAAAATCTTGGTAACTTTGGTGGAGCCTATGGGTCTGTTTGGGGGAGCTTCTAGCTGTTGCAGCTTTTTCTAAAATCAGATTTTGGCTTAAATTATGAGAAAATATAGTTGTAGAATCCAGAAAATGAAATATAAGCTAGAAGTGGAAAAATCCAAACAGTCCCTATGTCTTTGGTTTGCGCGATTCTCATGTGGAGCGAGGTTTCTGCTTGTGCCGATCCTTGAGGAGCTAGCGCGTTGCGTTTTTATTCGTTTGGCTGGGAATTCCACCGATTTTTCGATAATCATACCTCGGTAGTTCGGAAAAATTTTTGGGTTTGATTGTCACATAGATATACGGACACATATTTAAAATATTAAACATAGTCTAATAATAAAATAAATCATAAATTCCATCAGAAAACTGCGAGACGAATTTATTAAACCTAATTAATCCGTCATTAGCAAATGTTTAGTGTAGCATCACATTGTCAAATAATGGTGCAATTAGGCTTAAAGATTCGTCTCGCAGTTTACCCGTAATCTGTGTAATTATTTTTTTACCTACATTTAATGTTTTATGCATGTGTCAAATATTCGATGTGAAAACGTAATTTATTTTTTGTTCTGGTATTAAACAGGGCCTCAGATTCTAGCAGCTCGTAAAGCCAGAGAGGTCTCCTTGGCCCTCCCAACTCCCAAGTTCCCCACTCCGCCGCAGCTTCTGTGCCGGCCGGACCCCCGTTGTGCCCCGATTTCCGCGGCCGTCCCGCCCCCGAGCGGCGCTGCCATCTCGCATTGCCGCCGCCGCCGCCGGTATGGCCACGGGTGCTGAGGCCGCCGCGGCGTTATCTCCTCCGGGCGCCGCCGGTGCCGCCGTCATGGGAGTCTTCAAGTACAACTTCGGTGCGTGCACTCTCTCCCTCTCCCTTCTCCGATCCAAGTCTGAGGTTGATTTCGGGGGGTGGGGGATCTAAGTGCGGCCTCGTTGTTGCAGCGGCGCAGTTCCTATCCAGGGTCACCCCCTTCCTCTACAACAGCTGGTTCGTGCGCCAGCTCAGCGCCGACGACTGCGCGGTGCGGGATCCCCTCCCCTCTTCTTGCTCGCTCGCTCGCTCGCTTGATTTTATTTCTGTGCCCAGATGAAGAACTGAATTGTGCGTTTACTCACCGTAGTAAAGCAAATGTGGCGATTTTGTTGGAACCCAAGTTGTTGATTTTTGTAGCAAGCTATTGCATGATTTTATTGTAGGGGGTTTTAATAGTGTGATTTGGGTTTATTTTGAAGTTTTACTTGGTTGAACTAAAAGAGAACTGCTCTGGGAATCTAGTCCACCAGCAACCGACTGTGAGAATCCAGTAGATATGAACAAATCAACGTTTTGATAATGCTGTGTTTCTTATGTGCTTCACTTTGTTCAAATATCTAATAGAAGCTTAAACTCCTTTATATGTCATCTATCTGGCAGGCATACGCGTTACAGCTTCCTCTCTTCATCAACTGCGTCCTATTTTTAAGCCGGGAGGGGTTTCGGCGTGCATGCTTGCGTAATGATTCTGACAGGTATTACAATAACTTTATATGGACTTTCTGAAGCAATTTAGGAGCTATAAGCCATATTTATAATTTCTGAAGAAATAACTAAGCAGTAAGTCTTTTTGTTTAGACTAGTCATAGCATGGATTTATTTATTTTAAGCGAGAAAATCAATCTTTAAAATGACCAACGTGCTATAGAACTATAGATACTGGAAAGTGATAAAACCCCGGTCACAATTTCTTGACCTAACGCACCATATACTCTGGCTATAGCTTGTTAGTTTTAAAAAGAACCATGTGAAAAATTTGTGCTCTAGTTTCACTTGTGCATACAGAATAGTAAATTCAAAGAGAAATGAACCCTTTATAATTTGGTAGAGTAATTCAAGAAAGAGAAGAAATAAAGAAAAGAAAGAAATGTACCTTTATTAGGCACAGTTGATTTCTCATAAAGAGTTAATTGTAGGAAGAAAGGTAAAAGGAAGAACGATTGCAATTGATGCCACAATTGCCTTATAAACCAAGGTAGACAAATTTGAATTTATTAGATGAACAACTATGTGTTTCATGGACACACGATCCATGATTTGATAAAGCCCAACACTTATGGGGAATGGTCATATGATTTCCATACTCTCATAACAGCACTTCTTTATTGTTACTGTGTGCTATTAACATTCACTTTAAACTTTCATGGTAGGACTAGCCCACAACCTCACATTGTCCATAGAGGCTACCTTCTGTGTAGTGGTGAGGGTTAGTTCCATGTTGGAACATGAGTAGTACTATCATGTTATACTTGAGGGTCTTAATGTTTACTGCTGAGGGTTTTAATGCAACAACTGTGAGCTAACCTGTTTGAGTGAAATGAGGACGAAATCCCATGTGAGTTGCTCTCTGTCCGCAGGCTTATCTTGCATGCGGGCTGTGCACTTGTGAATTTGAGCCCTAGTGTGCTAAAACTTAATTATTTCTTTATAATCAACCAAAATCACATTCTTATTTTGCATACTTGTGAAAATCTATTTTCATATACATATTCTAGATAAACCTTAGAACTGTACTTGTGGTAGAATTACACAATTTCATTCATTTCTTACAAGTCCTAACGTGTCATCTCAGCATACTGTTCAAACGGTGAGCAAATAATTGCTTTCTATTAGTAGTTTGTATGCACTATTAATTTTTTTTCTCAATTTTCAACCACTTGAACATGTTGAAACATGCTCTGGGATTGTAAAGGTCTTTCTAGCAATTGCATTGGAATATACTCTTTAAATGATGATGGTTAAAATATTTATATTACAGTGGCAATGCGATAAGTGATGAAGAGATACTAAAGGTAGCTTGGATGATTGTCCCATTTGGCATCTTAGTTTCCTTTATCAGCAGCTTATTTGTGTTGAGGGTAAAGAAATTGCGGTTATCCGATACCTATGCTAAAGCTACATTAATTATCGGTAAGCTTTGTATTAACCAAGTTTCTGTACAAGCTTTGTGTATTTGTCCTGAATATGGTGACTGATATTTCATTTAGTATAAATTCGTCAGAGTGAATGAGTCAGTTGATTGAGGATAAGCTCTTTGGAATGAATGAATCAGTTGATTAAGTTAGAATATTCCACATATTAACTCGTTAGTGGTGCTGAAATATTATATCTTCCATGCAATTGTTGAACACCTGGCTCTTGATCAATAAAATGGAGATGAGCATTCATGCAAGCATACAGTTATTTGTAGCATTTCAAGATGGTCCTTTTAGACATTTATCTATTTGTTTTTCTATTTGGATATGATCTATAAAAGCACGGCTATGAATGGCTTTGTCTTTCCTGTTTGTATGATATCACTCCACATGTTTTGCCTTATTTTTTTCATATTGTGTGACTTCTGTCCACTTTCCTCACGTTGAGAGCTAATGTATTTAGTTGATTCAATATGACAGCATTTGCTTGCGTACTGGAGCTACTGGCAGAACCTCTGTATATTCTCTCCCAGAGGAAGAAATACTATCAAATAAGAGTGTATACTGAACCTGTGGCTACTCTGCTGCGTTGTTTAACAACTTTTATCTTCATAACAAAAGGACATTCTAAAATGGTAACAGCAGAGGTTTTTACTCTATTGACGTTCTATTCAACTTATTATGCACTTTCTGTCTCAGTTTGTTATCACTGATAAAATAAAATGCTTAAGTTCACATTGTTTTTGTTGTTTACACCTGATACTGGTATAGCCATCTATTTGGTTATGGTTACATTGTGAAAGCTAGCAAATCAAAAAGTTCCATTGCCAATTTCATATTGTGTTCTTTTGGTCCATGCACCAAAGAAAATAACTTGGTGTGAGATTTCTCTCTTAGCTACATTTGTTCAGGGTTAACAGGATGTGGGTTAGAGAGGATTAACTTAATCAGGTTGTGACATTTTAACTTTATTAATTAGGATTAAGTTAACCCACAAAAAAAGTGAATATGATAACATAGAACAACTAAACCTCTTTAGAGTTCTATTTTTCCAAATATAAGTGTATAATCTGGCTAACCATCTAATCTAGCCAAACAAAGTCTTAGACTGACCATTCTAATTGCCAAATCGAACAATTAAGCTATATGTATTTTAGACTTATAGTGTTACTTAATCTAGTTATTTTCAACTTTAAGCAGATCACCTTATGTTTTTTTGGTTGGTTATGCCTCCATTGTAAATTCCATGTTAAGTTCGTCTTTGACAATAATAGGACTTTACAAAACAAAAATATGAATTCTGCTGAGTGATATGTCCAAGTAATCTTTTCTTTCTTTACTTTTCAATTAATTGGTGTTCATCTCATGTCATTCTTTTCTTATTCAATTGTTGATCAACACAACACAAAAACAATAATTTATTTCTTGCAGGAAAAGTTGGTTGTATTTGCTTTGTCACAGGTTGTCTATGCAGCTTGCATTTTCTTTGGATATTGGACCTATTTTCTTATATTTACAAATACCAAAATTTCCGATCTCCTTCCATTCAGGTTCCTTCTATGTCTGCCTTTGCATTGTGTTGTATCATTAGGTTTTGTTTGATCCATCACATGTTTATGTTTGTTTCCACTTGATGTTAAAACAAACAAATTGTCAGGTTGTCAGCCATGATGGACTGCGATAAACAGTTGTTGCACATGTGCATGTTGTTTACAGGACAGACTTTCAGGAAACTGATGCTCCAAGAAGGCGAAAAGTTTGTTCTTGTTTGGTTTGATACTCCATATAACCAGGCTGCCTATGGTCTTGTGGATAAATTAGGTAAGTATGCCGACCGCTGTTTGTTTCAGATCCTTTTTATCTTCTAATGTTGCCGGGTATGTGCAATTCATGTTTTGTTTATTTGCAGGGAGTCTGGTTGTTAGAATAGTTTTCCTGCCATTCGAGGAGAGTTCTTATGCTACATTTGCACAGTTGGCATCAGGTTCTTCTGCATTTACTTCATTTAGATATGAGAATCACATTCCTTATCCCTTTGGTGTCTGAACTTGAAAGTTTCTCTGTGAAGTTTTGTCTAACATCTCTTTGATTGGTTATTCAATGAAAATTAACCTATGTTGGCTGGGCAGGCATTGCACCAAACATGGCAGTTCATCCTTTTTTTTTTTTTTAAAAAAAAGAGTTTATTTTTTTATACTCCTTTCAGAAATTGTAACTTTGGTATGTTTCTTGATTATTTGATCCTTACAATTTAGACTTGATCATTTTCCATATTTCTTACTGCCTGAAAATATATCTTTTGGTATTATTGTTGTTTCATATTGCAGCTTTAAGATACGATAACTTTTCCTTGAAATGTTGATTTGACCAACACCAGAATTCATAGCAATATTGTTTATTTCAAAACAATATGTTCCACGCATATGTTTAGATGTATATTTCTGTAAAAGCTCTAATAATGGGCCTTTTATCCACAGGACAAAATCCCCAGAATATATCCAATTTGGAAGGTTCTTTGCTCGGAGCTCTTAAGCTTATTATGCTGATAGGTTTGTTATCCAATGTTGAATGCTATATTGATTGCATTTGCGTGTGTTATTTACTGTGTCCTCTTAGGGAGTAAGAAGCAAGCAATTGCAGTACATGTAGTGTACAGTAAACATGTTTAGTAGCTACCAACTTTATTCTCTACGTTCTCATTCGAATACAGTCATCCTTAAAGTGTCCTAACTTTGCAGGCTTGGTGGTCATCTCATTTGGTCCAAGTTATTCATATACCCTTCTTAGACTACTTTATGGGGCAAGATACAGTGATGGAGATGCTACAGTTATTCTTCGTTACTATTGTTTCTACGTCATATGCTTAGCAATGAATGGTTTGTACTTACTACTTCTATTTACCAGTTATATCATAGTAGAGCAATGTTTTTGTACAGTATTACTGTCTTCATGCTTAAATTATGTATTAAAAAAAATCTGAAATGATGAACTGTAGTTGACCTTTTTGAATTGAGTTAGTGTACCAACAAGTAGCATTGCTTCTTGTGTTGATCAATAGTTAGCTATACTTGATGATGTGTTCTATATTTAAAAATTGCACATATTAGCCTTTATACAACCATGTAATTGGGCATGAGTAACACATTCAATTGATTCCTCATGAGGATGCAATATTGAGTTGCACTGATTATGTTAATGTGTACTTTCAGGCACATCTGAAGCTTTCCTTCATGCTGTTGCAAATGAAGACAAGCTTAAGCAGTCAAATGATATGTTGCTCCTGTTCTCGGCAATTTACATTGTGCTAAATGTTGTCCTGATTAAATCTGCTGGTGCAGTTGGGTTGATTGCTGCAAATTCCATCAGTATCCTTTGGTTAATCACTACCATCTTATTTCCTTTAAAGTATCTTTTAAGAACTTTCTTTGTGCCTTGACTGTTTGTAAAGATATGCTGCTGCGAATCACATATTCAGCGGCATTCATTAAAGACTATTTCAAGGTAAGAGGTTCGGTTGATGTTTCACATAGTTTGTTTTAGTTTCTGTTCTAACAAAAATACCTGATGACTTTATTTTACAGGGCTCATTCTCTTTCCGCCACTGCTTGCCGGCAGGCTGGGGTGTGTTGCTCATTTCTGGCCTGACCACAGCTTTCTCTGAAAGGATGTTTCTGAATAGAAACAGGTTCAAGCAGACCCTTCCCATTCACATGGCGATAGGCATAATGTGCCTGGGTTTCTCATCACTCGAGATGTAAGAACACCATTTCATAAAAAAAAAATGTCTCGCTCTTTTTATATGCTATAATATAATAATCACCTTGGCATTCGTTTCTCATTCAACAGATACCGTGGTGAAAAGCAGTTCTTGACGAGTATAATCAGATCATTGAAGAGCCGCGACAAACTTGCATGAGTCTAACAACATTCAGGGTTTTGCGAGTGTTTTTAGCATTCGCCTGATAACCGCATTTTCAGAAAGAAAACATATACGATGCCGTAAATATAATTGTACATTGCATGGGTTGACGACAGAAGATAATTATGCCAAGCGGCTGGAGGACTTCACTGAACATGGATCAAACTGGTCGCGTTCTCTACTGGAGTCGGGTTAATGGTGTGTGCAGCAGAACAACTGTTCACTAAACGGCAACAGAAAGCATAGATCAGTGGCTTATATAGGCAATTTATTATCTTATTCTGTAGTAACTGCTGACTACACCAAAATCTAAGGGTGTTAAGAGAAAAATTGATTATATTTTGTTACAGCTAAAATATACTCCCTCTGTCTCATAATATAAGCGATTTTAGAGGGATGTGATACTTCCTAGTGATATGAATCTGAACAAGATAGAAAGTGTCACATCCCTCTAAAATCCCTTATATTATTGGACGGAGGGAGTAATGAATTGGAAAAGAAAATTTAACACATCGATGTAATATAATTTTTTTTAGATATTTTTTATGATATTTGCTACTTCCTCCGTTTCACAATGTAAATCATTCTAGCATTTTTCATATCCATATTGATATTAATGAATATATATATATATATATATATATATATATATATATATATATATATATATATATATTCATTAATATCAATATGGATGTGGGAAATGCTAGAATGACTTACATTGTGAAACAGGGGAAATAGTTGCTATGCATGAAAACCTTATGTGCATAAGATATAGTCAATCGTAGAGTACATATACGAGCGTTGCGTGCTTCCTTTCATCTCCCTTCTCACGCTTGATATGAAAAGCGTGTTTTGGTGAAGGCTGAAAATGCCCATTTGATATAATCGCATTTTGAGTTATCCGGAGCCCCTCTACCTCTTGCCTCCCAAACCTCTATTCGTTGATGCAGCTATAAGGGGATGTCTGGTTGATGCCTAACTTTGCCATAACTAAGTTTAGACTAGTTGTGGCATGGTGGTACAAGTGTAACTTAGAAATAGTTGGCCACAAGTGTGACATGCTTAGCTCTAAATTTGAGAGCATGATATGTGGATCTCAAAGTTTAGAAGGTATGATACAATTGTGGCAGCAAACCAAACACGTAACTAAGAAACTGTAGCATGACTAAAATGTGGCGTGAAAAAGTATGGCAACCAAAAAATATATGCTAGCCTTGCAACCCGTTTCTAGGAACTACCCGACCCCGTTCATGGTTTGTACGAGGCTAGTGGGGGGGAGGGGGTGCCCTACATGGCTACATCCATACGACCATAATCCATACATGCTGCCAGCTGTAGGAGAGAGAAACAAAAACTCCTTTTTACATATATTTTTCTTCTCATGTCAAGCGGCCTGCAGCATAGCCGTCCTTGAGATTCTGCAACGCTTCCCGGATGTAGTCATCGCCTTGGTTGGATTGCTTCAAGCAGATGAGCCGTTGCGTGACCTGGTACGCCATCTGGAGCGACCGGTACTGCTCGCAGTTGTCGTCCTTCCTCACCATTTCCTGCAGGCCGGGATCAAAACAGGTAAACTTGACTTGATCAATGCGCTCGAGTAGAAGAAATCAAATCCAGCAGCAGGAACGAGCAAGGCTGTGCAGTCAAAAAAGAAAAGGACCCAAGTAGAAGAAAATGGGCATACAATTTGAGTTGCATAATGTAATCTAAGCAGTCACACACACTGTGTTATCAACATCAGCTCTAATCAGTACTGAGAGGTTTACCTGTTCTGTGATCCGTGAAGTGATGCTTGCTGCAGTGTCGATCACTGAAGAAGGGAGACCAGCCACCTTTGCCAGCAAAAGACCATAGTGTGGTACTTTCCGGACACCATCCTTCAACCGGAACTGATGCAGAGGGATTGTATGATCCATGATGTTAAGAGACATGAAAAAAAAAAGTCATGTGACTGTCAACGATTCAGGTTATACCTTGAAATCGAGGCGGTCGTTTCTCAGGTCGACTTCAAAATGGAGGATCTTCACGTTTGGATAGATGGTTGCAAGTTCTGACAAGCTCTCCATGTGCGTGGCAAACACCGTGTAGCTGCATTGGGTGAAAAGACCCGACAGTGATGCTTCTAAGATAGTAGGATTTGCTCAACAAGGATGATATCTTGTCTTAAAAGGTTATATCTGTAACTAATAGACCATATTGTGGTTGGCAAGATTAACCAAACATGACCAGCTGCATTCAGCATGTCAAGCACCCCCAGGCACTATGCTGAACTTACTGCTAATATCTAACCCAAAATATAACAACTTCTAGCTATGTATCTGGACAAAAGCGTGTCAAGATACATAGCCAAAAGTTGCTATATTTTGGGACGGAAGTAGTAGGTTCTGTGATAAATATGATATCTGAAACTTGATGGTAGCACGGCCTAAGGTGAGCACAAGACAAGTAGTAAATGTTCTTGTACTAACCATTATCACGATCAAATATTTGATTCAAGATGAGAACATATGGATATGGTTGAATAAATAGGCTACAAAAATGTTGGATGAGGTAACTGAATAACAGAAGCCTAGACAACACATTTAGAAAAGCATGCAGTTTCAAAACTATTGACAAGAAAACATCTGCTGTGAATATTGATACTCCCTCCAGTCTTACAATGCATATTAGCTTCCTCTTCTTGTTCAAAAATAGTAAGCATGCATGTAGAAAAATGGTAGTTTATCTCTTCTGCCCTTATCTATTTCATTGTCTGCTAAGAATTTAAGTATGACAACGTACACAAATCATCATCTCTTTTTCAGAAGCACTCAATTAAAAGGCACATAAGTTATTTCATACAGACCCCACCAAGTTAGGACTGTGATAAGTCAAATTATGCTGCATGAAAAGGATCAAATGTGGTACTTAAGAGGTTAATAGTTCTTACGCTTTGGTAGATAATAGATATTCACAGCAGCTCCATGCAATTGCCAACCCATCAGAGGAAGACGTAGCTCTTCCAAGCTCATCCACAACAATCAGGCTCCTGTAATGTGTGCAAATGTGCACATGGTCATTACAAGGAAACAAGAGAAACAGCAATCCAATCTATTGCAGCATGGTAGACCCATAGTACTTCGAAGAAACATTCTGCATAATGAAAGCTGTCTCTTTCATTTCTGTCATGAACTGCAAAGAGAAATTAAGCTGATTAGCAGCATTGAAATAAACTATACATCAATTGGCTTCAGACTAATTACTAATACTCCATAAAAGATACAGCATTGATGTTTTTATTTCCTTCTCAAAAACGCAGGAGAACTGTGCTTCATTTCATTAAGAAAGCAAATATCTACAAGATGCCTCTCACAAAGGAAAAGCTCGACCAACTATTGATGAAATATTTGATTTGATCGAAGAAATATTATATGTGAATTGCTTTGTCAAGTGTCCAAGGCCAATACAACTTGAAGGAAGGTTATAAATGACAGTATACAAACAATTCAAAAGTCCAGATCAGCCATCCAGATATTACCAAGAAATGGTATAGTATGGGCTCTCGCGATCCTAGATAAGATGGTTAATCCACTACTTCAACGCGCTTCTTCATGTAGAGTCATCCATAAATATGACAAACAGGTACCGATCTTAGGAGTTAAGACCCTCCATATCTAATGCTATATTAAGGAAATCCACCAAGGAATCCAAAAACACCAACTACTGGAACAGGACAATGCAAATGACCATTTATACTTCATATGGACAAGAAAACATCTTAAATTTGATAGGTTTGAGCACAATAGAGATAATGTGCATCAGGAGATTTAAGATAATAAATAGGAATTAATCTGGGAGGAAACAAGCCTAAAGAATGGTACTCAGGGGATAAATATTACTTGAGGACTATCAACAGTAACAGTTGAATGCTTTATCTAATCATTTTATTGTTTCACGTGCTTTTAGAAGAATTCTGTAAGTCAAATAACAAGATAACATAAGTATAAACCATATAGAAGAGATGAATTTGCATACTGTGCTTGAGTTATTTTCAACATTGTCCCCAGTGCCAATCCGTGTGAATACGCGATCAACCACTCTTAGTGATGCAAATTGAGCTGGAACATAACAGCCAATTTGTGCAAGAATGACTATTAGACAAATCTGTTGAAGATATGTGCTCTTCCCACTCCTGCAACAGCAGATAATGCAGAGAGCAGATGAATTTCCATATATAATTAGCCTGCTATAGACATTTGGATACAATGTTTATGGAACGCACATGTTTGGCCCCATGACAAGAACCATATTAGATGCTTCAGACAGAAAGAGATTGTTAGGCTGCATGATATAAACAGTATTATGATCATTGCTATTTCAATCAACAAATTTATGATGAAAAAGACATACAAATGAAGTAAATACTGAGGAATAAATAACAAATGAAGAACTTACAACAAAATCATTATGCAAGCTCTCAAGAATAGGATGCCTTCCAGCATTAATTGCCATCGGACCATCATCTGCTTAATTGGAAGCAACTGTCAGATCAGGACTCCACAACATCACTAAAAAAAATCCTTAACAAGATCAGTTACTAGTGTTGAATTGAATTGCCCACCAGTGAATTCAGGTCTCGTGTAACGATCAACGGGCTTAGTAGATATTGTAAACGCAAAAGAATTTACAAGCATGTCCAACAGGCATAATACTTCGGCAAGCAACGTTAATATACCAATGTCTTCTCTGATCTCATTAATAAGCCCTGAAACAACAGAACAGATTTATGCAAGTTAAATATTTCTTTAGACACTTGAATAATACTAGTTGAAATGTAAAATGCTGCACAGAAACAAGTTACACTATCCACAAGCTTCAATTCCCTTTAAGTTCGTGAGTTGAATTAGTCAAGTGTATGATACCCTCAAAGTCCCACCAATTCAGCCAAAATAAGCCAGGAAAGCAAAGAAATGGATGGCTAAAAAGTTCATAAACAAAGCAAAATGAGGAGATCCCTATTCTAAGTTAAGAAGAATGATGATGTTCTGTTCTACAATAGCTGCTACCTATATGGAGGATGCCCAACAAATATAGAATTTGATATCCCAATGCAACAGATACATTATGCATGCATGTATTGCATGTTAACTCTCTAGTTTATCACTAGAAAATTATAATAACAGGTATCTGATAACTGGACCAGAGCTTAACCTATATCAATATCAACAAATAAAGTAACAAAACTCCAATGGAAAAATGTTGAATACTCAATGTTTAGTGGCCATGGCAACCTTCCAAACAAAGTTCCGTGCGCAAGAAGCACTCAGCAGCAGCAGACTTATTCCTGGCATTTAGCTGCAAATTTGGGTAGAAAGCACATGGTAATAAGTGACCGTATGAAGAAATAAACTCTCCAATAGCATATTATATTTTTTCAATGTCATATCCTAATCGATAAAATAAAAGCTTATTTCACGTGTAGCTATGATGAAATTATACCATACACTTATAAAGAAGAAAAATATAACACTGTCCCAATGCTTTTGGCAAAAGAATAGTTTGCTCCGTGATGCTTAAACAAGATGATAAACTTTCTTTGAGGGAAAACAAAAGAACATAAATGAATAACTATTGACTAACACTTATTCCACTTGAAAATAGCATCCCAGAGAAAATAATTACATGGTTAAATTTGCAGTGTGGCAGTAAGTGTTGAATTACTAAAAATGCCCAAGGATGATAATTCACTGGATGCAAACTTACCGAAGCAAGCTCCAAGCTTGAGCAGTGGACATTCTTCCCATGTCTAACTACCTAATTGATTACACATTCACAAATATTTGGTTAGCATCTTATGGTTTAGCTAAGAGGCTGGTTCTTAAAAGGGATATATCCACATACCTGGATAAATTTATTAGGGAGCCTTTCAGTAATGTCCTTCTGGGGTACAATAAAATAAAATCCTAGTCTGTTGTTATATGGTATCTTCAAATTTGGAAGCTTAAAATCCTCCCTGTACTTGTTGGCAAGGTTATGTATGGCTGAAAAATGCATTATGTCAATCAGCTGTGTTAGGTAAAATTAGAAAACAAACATGAAAACGATAGACACCTTCGCTGGTATCACAGAAAGATCTACGAGCAACATCAAGCAGTCCATCAATTCCAGCCTTAATAGCAAAACATTGTTGAGTGCAGGTTACAAAAGGAGCCCTTGAATGAACAACATCTTCATCAATGACATCCCCAATTCTAGGATCATAAAAGAAAACATGCAACCAAATCAAAGGTGAATGGTTACTTTTAGAATGTAGATGGATATACTTGTTATTTAATAAATGTGGACGAACATATTTACAGTCACATAATGCTAATATACTGGCAATATTACTAAAAACTAAAAACAAATGTACAAACAAAAGCAGGATGGGAAGACTAAGCCTGAAGTTAGCATGCTGTTTTCAGTCTTCATTCAACTTCTCCTTTGAAATGGGAGGAAAAAGGTCAGAAAACAGTACCTCTTTCTCATGCTTGCATACTTTGGGTTTTCACATATAGTCTGATAAATGTTGCGAAGAAGGAAACTTTTTGCACCCCTTAGAACCTGTGATGAGCTACACATCACATGCGTGAAAAGGTAGATGGGTATGTTTCTAGAATAAAAGACATTTACCCTTAAATGAACAAAATAACATGCATCTTCAAAAACAAAACAAAATGAAAAATCAGAATGAATAAATTGCTAAATTGAATACTAGGACAAACACATCTATAACACTACCTTGGAGAGGAATGGTATGGCATCCAGAGCTGTTTTTAGAACAATAATGTCAGAAATCAGCCCTTGGCTCTTTCTACCATTGGCAGGCTTTAGCACTTCATCAGTATCCTTTTTGGGTTTGAAGCAGAAGTGGCAAAGAACTTTATCTGAGGCATAATAAAATTATGGAAGTTGTAACACCAGCAACCATTTTACCTATTATCTGTAGTGTTGCACAGCCAGAAGAGGATATAGAATTTTCTACAGAGAAAAAGGACATAAGTTCACCTGATTCTTTTGGAAACTTACGAAGACCTTGTGTCAAGCCAAAGAATAATTCCTCATTACTCATTAGCTCATCCTAAAATTTAAGATATAAAATTAATAAACATGCATTTATTGGATATATTACTGATCATTTTCGATGATAATATTAGTAACTGAATACTTGTTATATCCCAGATTCCAGTTGACTTTCATTCTTGCAAAGGAGCGTTGCATATCAATATTACAAGAACTATTGCTTCCCCTTCTCATGGAAATACTTTCACATATGGCCTGTGGTGTACAATCATGGTTGCAGTAAAATTCTCCATTATATTGCAAAGTGCTCCAACAGGAAATGAACTATAAATGGTACAAACATGATTGTGGTAAACCCTTCGAGTAACGATTTAAGACTATATGCACTAAGATTTCCACATGCATAAAGCAGGGTTCATACTCCATGAAGTTAGTTCATTCCCACAGAAGATCCAGAACCTAGCCTACTAGAAGATCCAGAACTTAATATGTGCAACTTTGGAAGTTTCAAATGTCAGGATTACCGTATGACCAATTTGATCAAACAGACATTCCAATTTAAGAATTGAGAATAACAAAAAAGATTAATCTCCTTACCAAGCAATCCAGACGAGTATTGATTGTTTGAATGTCTTTTAACGGTTGCAACAAGTTGGCTCTCAGTAGTCTAGTCCTGAACAAGCAAGTTTGAAGAGAATTGTTGCAGTGTGCTTGATATTTCAATACATAGACTACATAAAGTTAAACTATTTTGTACCATCAATAGAAGTTGACATGAAACTTTTTATCTCAGAAAAGATTGTTCAAATTGCAAAAATGAGGAGATATTGAATGTTGCAGTGTAAATATATGTAAAAAAGATTAGTTTGGAGAATGGGAAAGCCATACCCTCCTGTAGTCTTTGTAGTCTTCAACATCTGAAAGAGACTTTTCTTTTTGTTGCTAGTTCCCCACAGTTCAGTATGAAGAGGGTCAATAATTTCCAATGTTTGTACACTGCTAGGTGCATATATGGAACAATGAAGGCAATTCAGATCGTGTAGCAGAAAATTTTAACTTATATTGTTTCTGCTCCTTTGGTGAAGATGATTTATCAAGTGACAGATAATACTGCTCAATTTAACCAAAAGAGTACCTAGTTGAGTCAATGTTCATGTGGTCAAATGACCCATTGAATGTAACCTGAAAAGTTATACATACATATATAAGAGAAAAATACGGAAACATCAGCTAACATTTTTAGAGAAAACGTTTTTAGAGATAATGTATGGGACCCCATAATGTATAGATTTTTTTCAGATCAGCATAGCCCATAGAAGAGTAGTCACAAAATGGAGACTTTTGATACATAATATCGTAAGAATGGCCTTACAGGTGAAAAAAAGGCTAAACAACGATGATTTATATGAAACAAAACTCTAAAAAACTTACTGATAATGAGTGATTAGTGATAATTACACCTCTTTCTGATTCAATCCTGCAAGAAGAAACAAAGTAAATTGTCATTGTGATACTTATCAACACTATCAACATGAGATCTAATCATCTGCTATATTTCGGTTTTATCCTCATTTCCGTCCAATACGAGGAAAAAAATAGTTATCTATGACCAAAAAAAACAATATGAGAAATATGTTTTGATGATCCAAGATAAGCTTTATAGAATCCAAGTATCCAACTTGAAAATCCTATCTCAGTTTCCATTTCAATGTACTAAGTAACAACAAATATTCTGGGGCATTGTATAAATAGTAAGTAGTATCATCAAATGAGGTGCTTAGGCATAACTCCTATGAAATGACATGAGAAGTAACAGACAAATTGTAAAATAATTTAGTAAGTACTTGCTTTGAGAGTTGCACTGTTGTAGTACATAGTAAGTTCATATGCTCCAATTACACTTTGAAAAAATAGAAATTATGACACAGCTTTGTCAAGTCGTTATGTCCATATTGAAGCAATACACAACTATGTTCATGGGAGATACATAACAGAAGTTATTAACTTAATCCTAAACAGGGAAAATGTAGCCCAGCAATGTATCGAGACAAAGATAGCACGCGTACCACTTAATTGTTGCAGAGGCAGCAGCAAGACAAAGATAGTATTGCTTGCAATAAGTATCTAAACCGAGTGCAGATGGGTCTCTAGCTGAAAGATTTTTTACCATAACAGCACCCTTAAAAGAAAACAAGAACATGCATGATGTTAAGCAGCAGTTAATCACCCAACAATTAAGCAAATAAATGGTCAGAAAGGAATACAAATCATTATACCTTTGTGTCATCAAAGCAGCCACGTGCCATTGTTATCTAAAAGGTGAACTCTGTTTAGAATAAACGAAAGTGGGTTCATATTATGAGAAAACATAGAACAAATTTGCATATGTCAGCCATCACCTTTTTATTTGTTGGCAAATGTTTACCAACCAGCTCTGAAACTCCAACCATACCGTCTGCTGCTGTTTTGTTTGGGGGCACTATTGCAACCATAGGATCATAGAAATGCAGAAGTGTCTTCGTATTGTGATATGAGCAACTGGTCTCAATATACTGAGAAAGATGCAGTGAGGCTGATCTCAAATCAAAAGCAGCAACACCAACCTGCAAAAATACTAGTTTGATAAATCTTCGTGATCTTTTGGTTCATAATAAAGAAATTGAGAAATAATTAACTCCATGATTTTTGTTTGTATGTTTTCAATTTGAGTTGAATTGGATGGTGTGCATATCAAGTTATCAACTGACGTGCACAGACAATCTACACGTGTTCATATCACGATTTTTTTTTTCCAAAACTGACACTACAAAGAATTCTTACGTTGGCAAAAATGTTGAGATGCTTCCAAAACTAAAGATACACTTGACTTAGAACAAGAAAAATAAAGATGTACAGAGAGGTCAGCGTCTCAGAAGATCTTGTTCATTAGTAAACCACAAAACAAGTGTGTACAATGGAGAAATCATTTTCACAATCTGTTCATCCATAATACATTATCTAAAAAAAATTCATCCATAATAAGTTTATGAGTTGATCTACTACAACACTTTGATCAAATTTCTCTCTTCTGCGCCAATGCACCATGATCCAATGAATTTTCCTGTTTACAATGAAACTTGCAACTCCTTCAAAACAAGCCTGGAGAACAACTAATATATCGTAGATAAAAATGCTTTCCCGCATGGCGCATGGTGCTGTTATGGAAATGGCTTTATCCTTTGACCGTTGGTTATCCGGATTCCCAACTTGTAAGAAAGTGCCGGCCAAATCAGTGGAGGAAAAAATTGCAACAGCAGGTCACTGCAGTAATTGTGCCCACCTCTCCAACAATTTACTGTACACATCACACCAACTCGATTCGAACCGCTAGAGCAGCACTATCGAGGACAGGGTATGCTCTAATCGCCCCGGAAATGGAGCTGGAGCCTCAAATCCTAAAACCACCAAACCCTCAAATCAAGCCGCTCAGAACGCCATATAACACGAACCCCCCCCCCCACCACCACCACCAATCTGACCAGCTAGAGCAAGTAATCCACCCGAGCAGCATCCGATCGACCACCACCCCCGCGGGAGCGCGAACACAACACGCACGCAGGCCGACGACACGATCGAAGCCGATCCGCGGCGCAGCGAAGACCGAGTAGAACGCGAAACGGAAACCCTCGGGGGCCTTGGAGGAGAAGAGGAGGAAGCTAGCTAGGCGAGCAATCCGACAAGCAAAAATGCGTGCGGGGGTGTAGGGGGAGGGATGGGAGGGCGGGGGGGGGGGGGGTTAGTCAGTGAGAGGCGTCACCTCCTTGGCTCGGTTCTCGATGAGGCCGATCACGATGCTCGACCGGTCGCCGCCACCGGCTCCGGCGGCGTCGCCCTCCATCTCCGCCCGCGCCGAGCTCCGCGACGGTGGAATCCGAAGCGGGGAGGAGGAGAGTGAGGCTTGCGCCAGAAGATGGCGAGAGCTCTGCTTTTATACCCAGGCTTGGGCCTGGGCCCATTTGGGAAGAGCGGAGTTGAGGGGAGTGGGCTGTGAGACTGTCACGTGGGCCCACCTCAGGCCTCTTTTGGAAGCCCAATAATATCTGGCCCATCCTCTCTCTCTCTCTCTCTGCTTGCCTTTGCCTTGCGTTGCCTTACCAACAGCCGCCGCCTCCAAGCTCCGGCGTCCAGCCCCAGCAAAGCGGCCGCCGAGGAAACCCTCCTCTCTCGCCGGCGGCGGGCGCATCCCCAGTCACCCGCCCCTTACCGGCGGCCCTCCCTTCGCTAAGTTTGCTCCCTTCTGAACAGAAATTCAAAAGCAATCCTCAATAAGGGCCCCTTTAATCGCAGGATTGAGAAAACGTACGAATAGGAAAATCGTAGGATTTTGATAGGAATATAAGTATAAAACAGAGGATTACAAAACACAGGAATGACCGTTTGATTAGACCACAGGAAAAATACATGAATTAGAGGAGAGATAAAGACTCGAAGGAAAGTTTCTATGAGGTTCTACCTCATGATATTCCTCCAAAACTTGCATGGCATTAGGCATTCATAGGAATTTCATAGGATTCCATAAGATCCATTCCTTTGATTCAAAGAGCTATATAGGAAAAATTCCTATAAAAATAAAATCCTCTAAAATTCCTATGAATTTCCTTTAATCAAAGGGGGCCTAAGTTGCTGTGGTTGCTGAGAGAGAGGGCTGGATTGTTAGACGAGAGTTGTGATTCCCCCCCCCCCCCCCTCCCAAAAAAAAATTAGAGATATGATAAGTTGCCAAGCGCAACTCTGCATCTGATTTTATCCTGTTTCTACGTATGTTGTGACTTTGTGATTATGTGATTGTTTACATTTAGATTGACTGAAACTACTCTTAGCCCTTACTGGAACCAATCAGTTCATTTGTGCTATTAGAGTTGGTAAATCTCGTTGTTTGTTTTTGTAGAGGTTTAATCGTTCTATTTTGTTATTGTTTATTCTATTAGCTGGGCACTTAGTATGCATAATTTGCTGTCTTGTAACTTTTTCCCCTCAATCTTAATGTCATTTGGATGGCCTCCTTTGGTCATTCCTGTAAAAAAAAAAAAGTGCACTGTAGTTTAATTCATTGTGGAAATCGTTTCATTTGTTGATCGGTTTGCATCGGTGTGAACTTTGATATATTTAGATAGAGCTGATTCAAGCTTATAGTGAGAACTGCAAACAGCTGTGCTTAGGGTTTTCCACAAATTTTTGGTGGGGAGAGATGTGTTCCGTAGTGACGTCATGCTTGTAGCAGCATTTTTTGGCTTAACATACAAATCTTATCAGCTAGCAGTATGCTATTTGCTAGGATGATGTAGTCTTATACTCCCTCCGTCCCATAAAATCACGATTCCTATAAACCCGAGGTGACTTTAGCAGCAGTGGTAAAAGACTAGTATGCCCTCACCAAATTACAAAGTACAACCATTAATTAACGGTAAAAAAAAAGACAAGCATAAATTTCCTTGTGGTTGTCCTTCCCATCGTCAATCCCCTTCCACCATAACAGCTGCATTCGAACAAGCCACGTCCATCAGCATGCAAAGCAAGCATCGGCCACATACCAGTATACCACACGCATGCAAGGCTCCACCGCCGCCGCCGCGTAGCAAAGCCTCCAACACAACGGAGGGAGGCGCGGGGAGGTGGACTGGTGGAGCCTCGCATCTGTCAATTAAGAACAGAGCCAGGAACAGAGAAAAAGAGATACTACAAGAACTAGCAAGAACCAGATACTACAAGAACTAGCAAGAACCCCGACGAATGAACTAGCAAGAACCCCGACGAGGCCGTGTCCGCTCGTCGCCGCCGCCGCCGTGTTCGCCGATCGCCGCCGCCGACGAGGCCGCGTCCGCTTGTCGCCGCCGATGCCTTGTCCGCTCGTCACCGCTACCCCCGAGGCCGCATGTACGCAAGAACACCGGCGTCCGCTCGTCGCCTCCCCCGCCAGCCGCCGCCACGTTGAGCAGGAGGGATGTGCGGGGAGGAAGGCAGGGAGGGAGTGAGGGGGAGCGGCATGGAGAAGGGAGGGATTTGCGGGGAGGAAGGCGTGGAGGCAGGAGGTCGCATCTGGGCGTGATTTGGGGGAAGAGAGAGCGATGCGATTTAGGGAGGAGAGAACGAGACGAGAAAAGCCGAGGAGATAAGGTTTCTGCGGTCAAAACGATAGGAGAGAGAGAGGTGGCAGGCTCCTTTCCCATCTACTATGGCCCACAATCTTTTTTTCTGTGCACAGATCGTTTTTTTTTTTTTTTACAAACCTCCCCCTCCAGGATTCATGATTTTGTAGGACGGAGGGAGTAGATGATAAGACATCACATACCATGATATGCTTTTGAATAAACGAAGACACCATAAGACAGAACCATGGATGTACCCCATTGGCCATTGCCGAACTACTGTATCCATTCAGGAATTTTCTGCACAGTAAATGCTGATGTCCAAGCTATGCATGAACTAGTTCAATTTTTTCTCTGATCTAGATGCTTCTTGCTCTATTCTATTATGATTTACACATGGTACTCCTTAAGTAAATTATCTTATTATATTTTCCTTGCTAAGACAAAATACAATTGATCCTCTTTTAGAAAATATATCACAAATATTGAAAATTGGTCTAGGAGATCAGGATCTTCATCCTGGGACCGTTAGATTTTTAGATCCATCTCTGAGTGCATCTGGATTGCGCCTTCTACACCACCAAATCCCCATTCCCTCCTGTTTCTTTATTGCAGCTATGTTATTGCTTGTATTTGTATGGTTCAGTGTTCTTTATTTCTACGGCCCTTTTTTTTTGCAAGTAAGTTTCTGCACAGCTTTTTGTAAATATGTTGTGGTATCCTATTGTTGCCTCGTCCTAAAAGGTGGATAGGATATAGCACCACATATAAAGATTTGTGGACCATCACTCAGGGGCGGACCCACTGTAATTCATGGGTATTCAAATGAATACCCAAGATTTTTTTTAAAAAAATAGATATATCTATATCTATATCTATAACTAACTAATATAAATATTAGCATTTTTCCGGTCGTCACATCTTTACACCATGTGTTTTTTCGTCCGTCACACTTTTTTTCCGTCACCGCGTGTCCTTTTCACCTGTGCGTCGCTCATCCCGTCCCGTATGCCCATGCCCCCTTGAACGAGATCAAATCCGATCCAAATAAATCACAAAATCACAAATCCATTGAATCACAAAGTCACAAATCTAACAACAATGAATCAAAATCATCCAAGAAAATGAATAAATCACCGGCGCCATTGCTCATCGGAGCTCCTCGCCAGCTGAGAGGAGCGCGCGGAGGAGAGAAAGGATGAGAGAAACGAGTGGCGGAGGAGGAGAGGGAAAGGATAAGGGCGGGGCGGAGGAATCAAGGCGCGGCTCTCTCGGCTTGACACGTTCGGCAGAAAAGCGAAGACAATTTTGGTTCGCTGGTTCGCATCACACGTGGCCGTGAGACCCACATAAAATTTGGGTGTAGTTATATTTATGGCGTCATATTTTTCATAAAAAAAATAGTCGGTATGTATTTACATTGTAAGTTCATAAATTACATATGTAATTTTAGTATATTTACAATGTAAGTGCTACAATTACATATGTAAGTCTCTAAATTACATATGTAATTTTAGTGTATTTACAATGTAAGTCTCTAAATTATATATGTAAATGATATGCAATTTAAGTATAATTAGTGTGTAATTTCAATTCAAGCCAAAATCTTTGCTCGATCAGTTGGTCAGGGCCGCTGGACAAGCCACTGGAGATCCTAGGTTCGATTCTTTGCAGTACAATTTTATTTTCGTCAACTAAAATAGCACGAATCCTACAGTTGATCTAATGGATCAGAAATCGACATATTTCTAGAGAAAAATGTGTCGACAGTTTTTTAGCCTTTCCGTAAAATTTTCCAAAATATCAGCCGTATATACCGTTCTTAACGCAAAATAGATGAATAATCAGTTTTTTTAATTAGCTAAATTGAATTTTCATCTAGCGTCCATTTTTTATCTCTAACAAATTATTACAGTCGATGCTCACAGTGTTTGCACTATGGACATTAAAATACTTCTAACTTAGGGGGTGTTGTTTAGATTGAGAGGTGTAAAGTTTGGTTCGTCACATCAGATATTATGCAGGGTGTCGTATGAAATATTGGAGGCCTAATAAAAAAAACTAATTACAGAATCTATTAGTAAAACGCGAGACGGATTTATTAAGCTTAATTAATCCATCATTAGCAAATGTTTACTATAGGACCACATTGTCAAACCATAGAGCAATTAGACTTAAAAAATTCGTCTTGAAAATTTATCGCGATCTGTGTAATTATTTATTTTTTCAGCTCTACCGTGTACCTACCTTACTATGCAACCCAGACCAGTCCCGTGCCTGCCTGAGTTGGTCGTGCGAGACTGAGGCTCGCCTCAGTTGCGGAGGTGAACCTAGGTGGGGGAGCGGATAGCTGACCTCAGCCCACCCTGTGCCATCACCGCCGCCACCATCACCTTGGCGTCGCTGGCACTTAGTATTCGTTCTTAGGTGATTGGGTGAGATTGCACATCGTATTCTGCGCGCACACTTTCCAAACTACTAAACGGTGTATTTTTTACAAAAATTTTATATATGAAAGTTGCTTTAAAAAATCATATTAATCTATTTTTTAAATTTAAAATAGTTAATACTTAATTAATCACGCACTAATTGCTCACCTCGTTTTACGTATCTTCCCAATCTACTTCTCCTCAAACACAGCCTTAGTGCACATGGGCACCCGACTAGGTAGACATGATATCAATTCGTGGCACACCGCCAGCTTGACCTCCGTCGGAGCCATGCGTGGCCTAAGCCCGCTGCGCAAGAGCACACAGTCGCCGCCGCTCTACCAAATCGCCGCCACCATCACCTCCCTCCTCACGCTGGAGAAATCGGGGGAAAGGGTAGAAATGGCTTATGGTTAGGTTTTTCAGGAATGGGGTGTTTTGTCCTAAGCTCATGAAATCTCAGTTGTCCGATCAATATCCTACCGACGCCGTCAATCGTGCCGACTCACACCACGACTTTTTTTTATTTTTAATTTTTTTATTAAAAGTTTTACAAAAATAATTTTCCATTTTGAAAATTGACGGAAGTAGTCGCCTACCGCCCTCTGGGAGGGCGATTTTTAAAAATCGCCATCCCAGAGGGCGGCGAAAATGACGTGGCAGACGGCCGTTCGCTCTCGGGCGACGGCCGTCAACGAAATTTGCAGGCGGCCCCCTTGCCGCCCTCCGCTAGGACGATTTTGTACTGTGCGGGGGGTCGCCTGCAAATGGGCGGCCAGGGGGCATGAAATTTTGCAGGCGGCCCCCTTGCTGCCCTGGGGGAGGGCGATTTTTGCCTCCCCCTATAAAGCCCAGTCCCCCCTCTCTGAAATTTCATTATATTCACTAAAAATCCAAAAAAACGAAAGAGAGAGAGGGGAGGGCAGCAGAAGGGGAGCGGCGAAGCCCTGCTGGTTCGCTCACTTCATCACAGGTTTGCTCCCATACATCTTTTGCATTTGTACTAATATGTTATGTTTGAGTATATATGTTGCGTTTTAGTTTTAGTTCCATATATTTTAGCATATCTGTAGCACACAGCACATATGTGTAGATCCAGAGCATAGAATATAATAGTATGAATTGAGACATAGACAGTAGTGTTAATTGTAAGATGTAGTTTAGTTTGATCTGGAGAATGTAACCTACTTTTAGAATTTTGGAGAACAATATTGTAGAGAATGTAACTTAGGGCGTAGTACAGAAATGCGAGGTTAACGCAGTTATTGTTTTTATCAGGCACAATGTCAAATAAGGTCACATTTCAGATAGTTCACGGTGAAGGAAATATTAGATTTGGTCCAGATGGTGTTGATCTGTCAGATTTTGTAATGACATCTAAGGGCATCGATAGGCCTGCGGAGAGAACATTTCAGTCAATTTATAGTTGGTTGTTGAGAGGATTTAGAATAGACCAAGAAGTCTACACAATGTCAGTATCAGTTGTAGTGAGTCGTGCAACAGAAGGTTATTTTTGGGAACTAATGCCGATGGACAGCACTGCTGCTTGGAGACGATATGTGGAAATGGCTTTTGAACGGTCATGGCCCCTCGTTATATTTGTGTCGGTACAAGAGAAAGATATAAATGTTTCAATGCAAACCGAAGATGTAGAGGGTCCTATCAATGCAGGGGATATTGTTGGACCATCGATGCAAAATGAGGAAAATCAACCAAGGGAGGAGCAGGCCATGGGCATGGCGGATGAGGGGGAGAGAGTCGGTATAATTGTTGATGAAATGGAGAGGGAAGATTCGGATAATGAGGAAGCGGACGACGACGCATCATCCGATGAGGAAGGTGATGTAATGGCCACTGATTGGGCAAATGAGGACTTCTCTGAACTTGTTATATCAGAGGGTGATCATGTACCTTGGGAGTATAAGGAGAACGAGGTAATTGAGGGTGCAAGGTATGCTCATAAGGATGAGATGAAGGAGGCGGTGAAGCATTGGGCAGTTTCCTTGCAGAGAGAGTTTAGGGTGGTCAAGTCAACAAATTATGTGTATGAAGTGAGGTGCATGAAGGAAGATTGTCCGTGGCGTGTCCATGCATATAAGGGTAAATGGAATGATTATTGGAAAGTTAGCATTGTGACCGAGCACAAGTGCTACTTACAAGGGGTGGAGAAGTATCACCGAAACATCACTTCAGCTTTTGTGGCAAGTGAGATGTACAGCAGTGTTGTTGGTAACATTGGCTTTGAACCAAAATCAATTATTAGGCACATCGAGAACAAATTCAAGTACACCATAAGCTATGCAAAGGCCTGGAGAGCCAAACAAAAGATTATTGAGATGAGGTATGGCACATTTGAAGCTTCTTATGATAATTTGCCTCGTTTGTTAGCCACCATTGCCCAGAGGAATAATAATACTTACTATGACCTACATACATTTACATCGGTTGATGATCGAACAAAGAGTGTGCTGCAAAGAGCCTTTTTCTCATTGGGTGCTTGCATCAATGCTTTTGTGCATTGTCGACCTGTTCTATGCATAGATGGAACTTTTATGACAGGTAAATACCGAGGTCAGATATTGACAGCAATTGGGTGTGATGGGAACAACCAGGTTCTACCTATGGCTTTTGCATTTGTAGAGAGTGAGAACACTGAAAGCTGGTACTGGTTCCTAGAGAGAGTGCACATTGCAGTGGTGCGTATGAGGCCCAACGTTTGCCTTATACATGATCGTCATGCGGGTATGTTGCGGGCTATTGACTACTTGCAGAACGGTTGGGATGAGAAGGGACTTCCAGCTAAGTGGCCTGATGTTCGGAGTCGGTGGTGCATGCGTCACATGGGTGCAAATTTCTACAAGCAATTCAAGAATAAGCATCTTATGGAGCTCTTTAAGAGGCTCTGTGCACAGAACCAAGAGAAGAAATTTAATGAGTTGTGGGACAAGTTGGATGAGTTGACAACGAAGCAAACAGATGAGCAATCTCGCAGACCACAAGTTGAAGGTGACGAGCCTCCCATACCTCTTGGTGCATTACATGATGACCCACCAACAATGAGAAGGAGGTCAGGGTCGTCCATCAGAAATTTCACTCAGTGGATTGAGAATGAGCCTAAGGAGAAGTGGTCTCTATTGTTCGACACCGATGGATCTCGGTATGGCATAATGACAACCAATTTGGCAGAGGTGTACAACTGGGTAATGCGAGGAGTTCGGGTACTTCCATTGGTTGCTATTATTGAATTCATCCTTCACGGCACGCAAGCGTACTTTAGGGATCGATACAAGAAAATTGGTCCGTCCATGGCCGATAACAACATAGTGTTTAGCAACGTAGTGACAAAGTACATGGAAGATAAAATCAAAAAGGCACGGAGACATAGAGTTGTTGCTCAAGGCACACAAGTGCATCGGTATGAAATAATGTGTGTTGATAGGAGCAGGCGTGGTATCTATCGCAAGCAAGCCGTGCAGGAATGTGTCTTGAAGGCGGATGGTGGATGTACCTGCAGTTGTATGAAGCCGAAGCTTCATCACCTTCCTTGCTCACACGTTCTTGCTGCTGCCGGTGATTGTGGCATATCTCCCAATGTGTACGTCTCAAATTATTTCAGGAAAGAAGCAATCTTTCATACATGGAGTGAGGAGATATATGGGTTCGGGATCTCAGGATCTTACACAACGCTGAGTGCCCAAGTTTTTTATGTTCCAGATCCATCTAAGTTAAGGGTGAAAAAGGGTCGACGCCAAACTAGACGCATCAGAAATGATATGGATGAGTCAGAAGCAGGTGGGAGGACTTTACGCTGCAGCAAGTGTGATCTGCGCGGCCATACTTACAAGAAATGCCCGAAGAATGCAGAAGTTCCAAGCGGCGCAGATGCTAGTCCATCTGGACAGGCAAGTGATGGTAGGCGACCACCTGGTGAAGGAACAACAAGCAGGCGCGCAAGGCCAAGGCGTCGTCGCG